CTCTTTTCTGTTCTTTAATGTAACGTTACTGGAGAGACAGAGCCTCTCCCAGCTGTTAGCAGACTGTTGTTAGCGAGCTATACCCAGCATGCAGTTTGGCGGTGAAATTTTATAAATGTACAATTATTAGTGTTACAAATTGTTGTGTCGTGGTGTTTTACTCTGTTAAAGAGCATTAGTTGTGGGTTGTTAATTGTTGTTATAAAGTTATGACCATGACTAGGGGTCCCTCTCAATACACTTAAGATAACTAGCTCCGACCGCAGCGCTCTCAGCAGCGAACAATATATTTTGTTGCCTGTTGAAGAGTGACAGAAGTTGTTTCGGCTGTGCACCGGTATGACAGTATATGAAAAATGTATTTCATATGGGATATTTGAACCGGTATACCGGTTGAACCGGTATACCGCCCAGCCCTAGTGTTGGCCACATTTATGGACCCATAATCTAGTAAACCATTATGTGAAAGTGTTGATTTTAAAGTAAATTTGATGTGTGAGAGTGTGTGTGTGAGTGAGTGAGTGAGTGAGTGAGAGAGCAAAACCTGCAGCCTTGTAACTAACCTTGGGAGAGAAAAAAAAAACAAAAAAAAAAAAGTTATTTTCTTCCATGAAATTTGCCAGTTTGAGTTTATAGATCTTAAGTATCAAGCATGACCCAGCACTCTAATACTCTGTAACTAAGCAACCAATCTATTTCTTGTTTACACTGGCACCCAAATGCCCAGTGTACGTGAATAAACACGTGATGTTGGTTTTCAGGTGTGTTAGTATGGACGGAAATCTTGTCGAAAATGATGCTGAACGGAGATCGTTTTTGTTTTAAAACTCCGGTTTTTAAACGGAAATGTATTAGCGTAGCTTTAGCTTCCTGTGACAATCTCATGTTTTGGAAAAATGCTAACAGCTGCTCTCATCTGACATGAGTGAACAGAGGGCAACACATTAGTAGCATCATGTGATTGAGGGATGACTTCTTCTTTAAGAAAACAGCCTCAAACAGTCAGACTGTGGAGCATTCCCTCCCTCACACTTGGGGGAAGTTAGAGCAACATCATTGACTACTCTAATCTTGCATCAGCTCACCAGTGTGACTTCTCATGTGGATTTTGAGACGACAGGCCTTGTCATACGTCTTGTCGCAGCCCGGGTAGGTGCAGGTGAAGTGGCCCGTTTCTCTGAAGTGAGTGCGGTTGTGGGAGAACAGGGCACTGAAGGTGATGAAGGTTTTCTCACAGCCTGCATATGACAGGGGGAAACATGGAAGACGACAATGGTAGATGGCCTTTGGGATAAAACATCAGACGGATAGAGAAGATAAACATGGTGAGGTGCGTACAGTTTACTGGCATCATCTTCCGCATTAGTGACTTCAATTGCATTGTTTTTGAGGTAATCTGCTCCATATCCAATGTTAAGCATTGTAATGTTGTATGATACCAGACCATCTGCCAACAGCAGATGGAGTATGTGTATGAAGATAAAGGGAGAGTTGTAATATGATAATATGAAGCAAAATATTTGTAAAAAAATCTAACATTCAGCTTGTGTTACCTGGGAATTCACACTTGTGGGGCCTCTGAGGCTCGAAGTGGACCCTCTGGTGATTGGTGAGTCGCGTAGCACTGCGGAACCTCTCGCTGCAGATCTCGCAGATGAAGGCGTTGTCCTGCTCGTGGACTTTGACGTGAGCCTTGAGGTTGTAGACCGTGGTGAAGCGCCGCCCACAGCCTTCGAACTGGCAGGAGTGCGGCCGCTGCTTGTCGTGGGACTGAAGATGCCGCTTCAGCTTGTAAGAGGTGGCAAAAGCCCAGCCGCAGCCCTCCATGGAGCACTGGTAGGGGCGTGGGTCCTCGGCATGGTGCAGGAGGTGAACTTTAAGTTTCTGACGTGTATCGAATATGCTGGAGCAGCCGGGTTCTGGGCACCCAAAAGAAGCCACAGTCTCTTTCTTGGAACGTATTAGCGGCACAGACTGGAAGTCCCCACTGTTACAGTCTGCCACAATTGCTTTGGGGGATGAGGTGACCAGATCAGCCTCTGTTGCAGTAAACAGCGTCCCCGCCTCCTGCTTAACCAAGGGACAGGAGGTCAGAGATGTCCCAAGCTCTGATAACGAGCAGTCATCCACCAGAGCCAGCTCGGAGTCACTCACAGACAAACCAGGCCTGGGCTCTTCCTGCGGGCTGGAGCTGGATACTGCCAGGGTGCTGATCTTCCCGATGGATTTAGTGCCACTGTCATAGTTGAGAAGAACAATGTCCTCATGGTCTTTCATGCCCAGGTGCTCCTTTAAGCTGACCATGTCGTCCTCTTTGTGGACATATCCCTCCGGTGGAGCAGCGAGAGTCAGTATCCCGTTTTCTATGGTCACTATGATGCTTTGGTTGTTTATTGTGATGGTACCGGAAAAGGTTTCACTCGCGGGCGGACTTGCGGAGGCCGTGACCGGGTTTGCGCTGCCCTGCAGCCCCGCTGAGTCGGAAATAAAGTCCGAGGTGTCCATGGCTTCCGCGACACCCGAGCTCCCTGAAATCAAGGCACTGCTCTCGTCAACACGAGAGTGCGACGAGAGTCCCCTAACCAGTTTACTTTCATTGTTCTCGGTACAGATCTGGCCACAAATCTTATCGCCATATTTGTTTGTCAAAACAACGTCTTCGACAGTGTGGTGAAATACAGTCTGTTTAGCATTACTCACGGCAGCATTGTCGTTTAGCAAATTGAAAACATGGTCGGCTTTTTTCAGGGCCTGGGTATCAAGACAGTTCAAGTTGTCATTAGATCCATAAAGAATAACGTCACTGCTGCTTCCAAGCTCCATGGAGCCACAGGGACTTGCATTAGAGCACTCTGGTCTGCTACCTTTCACTCGATCGCCGCCCTCCGATGACACATCCGGTCGCTGTTTGCTCCCTTCGCCGTTGCCATCCTCTTGAACGACATTAAAAACAACATACAATTCCTGGGTGGTTTTATCAGCCCTGTTCGCCGTGCTGAAGCTCCCCGGCACAGTAGCGCTGTGGCTGGCCAGTGAGGGCTGCTTGAAGGCGCCGTCCTCACGCTGCTGCCGTAAAACTGGACACGGTAACGTTAAGTGTCTCTGTGGCATCGGGTCCTCTTCCCCTTCAAACAGAGGCAGCGCCATTTGCATTACAGTATCCCCGCTTTCTACCCCGTATTTCCAGGCAGTCCTCACAAACTCCCGCGAACCGAGCAGCGAGTCGAGCTCATTTTCTTTCTCGGTGCTCATGTTATGAAGTCCGACATTCGGCCCGGTGCCCGGTAAATGTGTTTTATCGGTTGGTTGCGGTTTGCTGATAGGCGAACAAGCCGCTCCGCTGCCATTTTCCGCCAGTAGGTGAAACGGTGATGATGTCCTCGGCCTAGTGTTGTTGTTGTTGTTGTCACTTTGTGGCTCACGCTGCCCCAATAGTCCATCCGCTTCAGTTTCGGTGGAAATAAAGTAAGGTATCGGCCCGGTCGCTGATTGAAGAGGAGACAAAGTGGTTCTGTGTAGGGCGCCATGTTGAATGTGAATGTTTTGGGTACCAGAAAGCCCCTGGATTTCCATCTTGGTATCCCTGTAGCAGCGACACAGAAAAGGCCCGCCCTAGTTGACGGAGGCGTTCCAGAGAGCCACTGCACGGTTTACAGCAGGCCGGATGCTGCCTTTCTGGCCAGCATGGAAATTCGGTAGCCACGGGTGGTGGGAAAACCCTCGCCGATTTATAAAATGTGTTTATCATTTTATTGACAACCAAAGCCTGGTGGAACTGGGAGTTTTCCGCGATACAGTCTGTCATGGTAGCTTTTTTAGGTTTGTCATGTAGGAGAAGAATGACTTGTAAGCCAGACTGAGACCTACATTGACGAACACACGAACATAGACCGTATGTCGAAAAGCACATGTCTGTATTTCAGTCTTCCATTTCAGTATATGGTATGTTATGAAAGTACAAACATTTGTCTTCAACATCATATCAGAGGGTAGTTTTTTTCTGAAGCTCAGTATGCGAGGTCTATCGAACCTTGAGTGAGGATCTACGAGGAGTACCTGAAGGCAGCGTTAGCATCATAGTGAAGTGAAACTGGAGTGGATTTTGCAGCAGTGGATCCGAGTTATATTTGTTATTACCAATAAGTAGCATACGTCGATATACTTGTATGATCTATTTCCTTATAATGCTTTAACTTCAAATTGAAATGTGAAGCCCAATAATTTCATAATTCAAGAAATAAACATTTCAAATCACAGTCACTGTCTTTTTCCACTGTATTTCCACTGAGTGGCAGTGTAGTAATATACAACATACTAAAAGAAATCTTCTCAGAAGAAACACCAGATTTATTACCACTGTAGACCAATATTTAAAGAGCATGGCACCCTTAGGGTTTAGACAATGCATTTAAGATTCACATTTTACTATTGACTGTAATGTTTTGACGACAGAAGCATGTAGTAGAGGATAAAACATACCATAGCAAGTATGTTAAATATAAAAACAAATTAATTCTTCACCACACTCAGACATAACATTACAAAGTTTGACAGCTTTCTGTCAAACTTTATGTAGGCTATATGTAGGCTAATAGCTAATAAACTGAGCACGGAGAAACTCTGACAACACCCACAGAGGGAGAGTGACTTCATTCTCTGCTCAGGTAGACATTACTCCACTATATCTTTAGATAAAAGTAGTTTACTGCTATATTAATGCTCTGAATTTTGAATTTAGTGCCTTTAAGCTGGAGTAAACAAATATATATATATATATTTTTTTTTTTTTGCAATACCTACCAATGCCAATCCATATATTAGGAAGCAGAATAAATGGTAAACAACAAATTGCTGAACATTCCAGGCATGCCATTTTTTGAATAAGAGAAAATAAAAGGAGGAGCATGAATTATAATAATTAACTTCTTAAGTATTTTTGTTCAGTCCCTAATATAACCCAACAATTACTCTCAAAATAGTAACAGGCAACAGATGAGCCTTAAACATTATCTTTATTTTGGTTTCTAAGCAAAAGCTATAAAACAATGACAAACCAGAACTCAATTTTGACCGACACAAATGAAGACAGAAAGACATATTTAGAGTATCAAGAGAGGAACAAAATGGAAGGAAGGAAGACTTTCACAAAATATTCTGTACATCCCTTTAGATGTATTTCCATTTTACCCATGTAGGTTGTATGGTTCACATACGGGGGAAGTGGGGAGCGGGATACCGTCTGTGAGTGTCATTAACCAATACTGTACACACTGTATAGAAAGCTCCACATGCTTCATACAAAAGTATCCGATACGTTTTTGTGACCGTGTGTTGGCGTACGTCTTGATAACACACGCATGCATGCATGTATGTTTCAAACACAGTGTGATAGGAATCTATCCTACTATTGGTGTGGCTCCTCTATGTTTGGGATCATCACATTGCCAGTCCCTTCAAGTACACTGCACGCAATAACCGTAGAAATAGAAAGAACGCTCCTGCACAGAACACAAGTCAACACATGTAGGAATGTTGTTTGAAGTCATTTTCAAGATAGGACTAAATATACAGTAAGTGGTTTTTCTTTTCTAAACAAGTACAATCATTGGCAGCATATCAGCCAAACAAGCATGCAAAATAACACAGATGTCCTGTTTCGACATAGAAAAATAGAGTCCCTCGTAACACACTTGTAGGATTATGACAGAAATAAGGCCACATATCCATTTCCTTTCTAATACAATGACACATGCTTAATAATCCATCCAATACTGTTATAATTGGCTCTACAGACCTTCCCCGACTGTTTGAAACCGTTCCTGTTTAGTTGTTTGCTAAGTGCCAAAGGTCAGAGACAAAAAGTTTGGACCTGACTGCACAGTATGTGTGGATGTGTGGAAAGGAATCCTGAATGCAGAAAGCAAAGGCATAAGAAATGAAATCACAAAACAGAGGATATGTCCGCAAAAAGAAAGTCAAATTCCAAATCATTTGGTTATACAGCAGCTGTTGAGCCCAGACTGAGGCCAAACTGTGCATACATTTTTAAAAGTAGTCGGTCTGAGCGACCCTGACAGAGAACCAAACCTCACTCTCCTTTTCACTCTTTTTGTTGCCGTCCCGTCACTGGTGAGAAATGAAGAAGAGTAAAAGATGACACCCTGACGCTTCCACACATTCTCTGCTACATACGAAGTATTCTGGGCCGTGAAATGCGCGCTGAACAACTCTGTTCATTTTAAACAGGCCCAGACAGCTTGAGAACCAGAGGGCACCCACCTCATGAATGATTCATCCCAAATGACAGCCACAGCTGAGAGTTACAATTTAGAGGAAGGGGGGGGGGGTGAGGGGGTCAGCAGAGCACAGACATATTTATGTTGGGCTTTGCGACCGGGGCTGAAATAGTCTCTGGATATTGTTAAATTGTATGGTGGCTGGGAGGAAGTGGAGGAGCTGGGAGTGGCGGATAGTTCAGTCTGTTCTCCATCCCGAGCCAATTTCATGCTCGTATATATTTCCTGCTTTCAGGAGGGGCTCGCAAGCACCTTCCCTTCGTGTCCAAGTGGGATTAGTTTCGACTCGCCGAGGCTCAGTCTCTGAATGTTGACCTTGAAATGTAGAGCACCCTCCACCCCCTTCTATATCAACACACATTTATTTGAATTTCACATGTAGCATTTCCCTGAAGCAATAAAATGAACCAGTGGCTCGCAGATGCCACAACCAGGACTGGATTTCATTTCTGCCTCTCTACTTTCAGATCCACCGTTTTCCTGTCAAGCCTCTAAAATGCCCTGAGGATAAAAAAGAAACTAGGAACGGCCATCAGCCTCAGCGCCGTCTTTCTTTACAAAAAAAAAACCAATGGGCCGGCTGCTTCCGGATGTGTTACTCTAATGCAGCGGACACTCTTCTCACTGTGAGCAGGAATGCTGTCACAGAAAGTGAAGTGGGGTGGACGGAGCTGTGGACTCGCCCTCTGCGGGAGAAGTTGTGCTGGCAGAAAAGTCCGTGGGTGGGTTTTTTGATGACTGAGGAAAAGATGCTAAACTACATTAACAGCCTTTGATTTAAATGCAGTTTGTAATTGCAGAGTTGTGTGTTACACCTGTGATAGGTGCTGAAAAGTGTTTTCTACATTTCCAGTCCAGGTGTTGTTGGAGAAATCCATCCCCACCAACTCTTCTGGTAAGTGTCCCCTTCAATGTACTGCGGGAACGATGTTCAAAAGCCTGACTCGGTTCCTAACCCTGAAACCATGCAACACACACACACACACACTCACACACACACACACACACGCACACACACACACCTCCCTTTTCTCAGACTACCGTACTCGCTGCCCTCGCCTCAGGTGTGCATGTTGCGTTCCTTGGGGGCAGGATTGGTGGATGTGGTGGTGGTGGTGGTGGACATTGAGGGGGAGTCTGAGCTGGCGGGCAGAGGGGGCCGAGGTTCGATCCCCTTGCTCTTCATGAAGGACAGCAGCTGGTCGGGGATCTCCGCCAGGACGTCCTTAGCCAGGCGGGCCATGCTCAGGACCTGGTTCCCCGACCGGTCGATGTAGTCCCGGAAAGGAACGAACTGGATGGGAGCAGGAAAAATGGATGGGGATGACAACAGGGACATTTGCCTAAATTTTGGTATTTTGCCTCGTGCTTGTTGGTGTGTAGTTGAACATCTATTCGGTATAGCAACTGAATTAATTTAAAGTTACTACGAGGAACTTTCATTTCGGGTTGAATTTGGCGGTCCCTGTTGATAAAAGTGGTAGTGTTTCTGAGCACCAGAGTCCCTTCAGAAAACCTCTCATTTTACTGCAACAGGGTCTGACAGTCTGCCTCTCTCAGTCCTGGTTCTGGTTCTCCCGTGCCTCCCTTCCCTCCAGCGGGACCAGCAATACGGCCTGGGCCTCCAGCAGCGTGGTATCGGCTTCCAGCGGGGACCGAAGGGGCAGAGAGGAGAAGCTCTGCTCCTGGAGGAGGAGGAGACGCTGCTGCCGGTAGCTGAGCTCTTGATCTTGCACCAGAGTTTCCGACTGCAGGTCAAAAGCGGCAGAGAAACCGGATTTTGGTCTGTCTACGGTGGGCTGGTCTCTGCTGGAGGCCCTGCTGGAGTCTGAGCTGAAGGAGTTTCTGATGAACCTCTATGATTTCATCTGATTTCACCAGAATCCAAGCCGGTGGCACCGATGACGAGCATTAAGAATAACTATAATATACACAATCTTCTCGTTGATGGTGTGGTTCACTTTTGCAGCTCATGTAGAGGATCAATATCACATTGAGAGTGTTTCATAACTAGTTTAAAGTTCCTCTTAGTATTTTAAATGAAATTCAGCTTTTATATAATACTTACATTCGTGCATGGCAAGATAAGGGGATATTTATGATACTTTTTTGCCTTTTGATCAAAACAGATCTTAAAATTCCCCATTATTTTTAACAAAAACAGAAACAAATAGTTCTGCTTTTAAGAAAATGGGTCTTCTTTTCCGACACAAACAATATGCCAAGAACCGGATCAGATCAGAATTCATAAAAGTTCTATGCAGTCTATGCAGTCTTTTACTAGTTAAGAGCCCTAATAAAGGCCTTTGGTTATAATGTGAATGTTGGGGTGTCCCTGAGACAGATCCATGTGGTTCAGGTTGTAATTGAACAAAATCAACTCCATGCAGATGTTTGCTGGTCACAGTGAGGAGCACCAGAAGTGTGACAGGGCAGCGTGTATGTGGAATATGCTTTACCTGGACGATATCTCTCTCAGCAAAGCGTCCCCTGGAGGACACCCTGACCTCATCCCCGTCCAGCTCCTCCATAGCTGCGGACAACAAACACATCATTTAAACTGTTAGGGTAGGCCTGATCTACTATACATCCTATGTGTCCTTTGCTGCACTAATTAAATTGTTAATAGGAATGTTTTAACAGGAAGGGCAAAGTGACACAAATACAGTTCAAAAGCATTTAAAAAATTCAAAAAGTCTGATTGCTCAGCAATTTGTTGGCTCATTTATAGTGTATGATGAAAGTTGAATCGTTTCTCATTCTACTGTATTCGTCCTATCCTGGGATGTGAACTGTGTCCAGGGCTCATGTAGTACTTACTGTGTGTGAGTCCACAGCTAGTGTGGTTCATTTTTCTATCCTTTTTTTTTTTCTTTTCACAAAATCTCAGTCATTAGTGGAATTCATTACAAAATCAACAGAACCAAGAACTTGAGCTATCTGACTAACTTGACTCACTTCCAGTGTAAACAAAGCTAATCACGTCTCCCAGGACAAACGAGAACATTATTCACTGTTGGGTTTATTCCTCTCGTACCGATCCTCTAAACTCTCCACTGCTTTTAGACAACACTGATAACAAACACTTCTATATACTGTGTGTTAGCATGCACACAGCCCAGGTCTGTGTCTTATATGAGGGAAGGTGCCAACGAAGCAAATCCATGCATGCCTTTAACAAAGAACAGGGAATTGAAATGGTCTGCATAGAAAGCATTTCTCTTCATAGTTACGGTGCAACCCTGTGTCTATGATGTCTGGAACTAAGAGCAGTGCAGACCCAGCTGCTGACGAGCCATGCAGCCGTCCTCAGGGACTAATGAAGAGTTCAGACTAAGGACAGGTTAGCAGTCACTCTGTACCACATCTGTTCCCTGCTGCTCTCCAAGTGGAGAAAGGAAACAATCACTTATTCTGTAAACCAACCTCATTAGTGCTTATATAGGCCACATGGAGGAAGGGAAGGTAAAGTCCCTGACTGGAAAAACAGAGTTATGCACCAGTGTATTTATAGATTCCTATCAACAAAGCACATCAGATGAGCAAAGTGACAAACAATCCGTGGCATTTTCTCAAGAGGGACCCTTTTCACATTTGAATTTCAAGGGGAAAAAGGAAAGGAAAAGATGCTGAGGGAGGGATGCTGATGGGAGAGTGGTGAGGCTCCACATGGCACACGGAGATGGCCAGATGGTGGTCGGAAGCAGCGGGGGAAAAGAGGAGAAGAAGAAGAAGAAGAAGAAGAAGAAGAAGGAGGAGGAGGAATCATTTGACATGCTTGTATAAGAGAGGAAATGGGGAAAGAGCAGACAGAGAGACCGGGACAGGACGGACAAAGACGTGAGAGGACAGAAGAGCTGGGATAAGAAGAAGAAATACATTTGGCGGGGGGCTGAGGGTGTCCGTGGAGATACTGAGCCTGATAGAGACCCTCCTGCTGTCCTGTCCTGAATAAAATATAACACGTGTGTCTGCCTATAGATTCACAGTTCAACACACAAACCCACTAGTAGGGACATGTGTTCAGCACATGGTTTGTAGATATGAGGCGACATGGAGATTCTTAATGATGATCGTTTTGATACATCAGCATGTTATTGTCGGGTGATGGTTTGGTTTCATCAGCACCCATTATCTGATACACTAGAATGTATTGTCTCTTTGTATTAAGACCAGGTTTCTCATAAACCCCGGTGTTTTTCCTCTGATCTCTGAAGAGGACACAATATACAGGTTGGTACAGAAGGATCTTTAGCAATCGCTACTTGGAATTGTTAATCATGACAAAACAATCACAACCCAATGTCCATTAAGTAGATAGTTTTGCCTATTACTGCTCCCAAGATAGACTTACTATCTCAAGTTCATCAAACTTCTTGTCACTTCTTGTCTAAGTAGAGTTACCGCCTTGCAGTTGTATGCCTCCTCCAACCAGTCATGTTGCATCACTTCATCATTTTATCCGATAGTTCTGTGAAATTGTCAGTAATAGCATATGAACTCTTGAATTATGATGTTTTATGATGTCACAGTGACCTTTGACCACCAAATTCTAATCAGTCCACCCTGGTGTCCAAGTGGACGTCTGTGCCAGATGTAATCAATTTCCCTCAAGGTGTTCCTGAGATATTGCTTTCTAAGAATAGGACGGTTGTAAGGTCACAGTGACCACCACCTTCGATCACCAAAATCTAGTCCAGGTGGACGTTTGAAGAAATTGCAATAACGAGACGGACAGACAGACCGACAACTCAAAAACATAATGGCTAATGGACTGTACTTGTAAAGCTTTTCTAGTTTTCCGACCACTCAAAGCTTTAACACCACATGAGACCAATGTTAAATTTTGCTTCAAAAACATCTTCCACGGAACATGGTACCCCATTTCTAGATCGCCAGTTCAGCCACATTTTTTACACTACAGACACAATTTTTACAGGATCTGCTCTTCAACTCATCCTTCCTCTCATTTATTAATATCGGAGCAATAGGAGCTATATTTATGGGAGTTTTGATGATTTGTTTGAGAGGTGTTTCCCTGTTTTATCTCCATGAAAAGGCTGGAGGCACACAACTGTTTATGATTGAGCTCATTAGTGATGTTGATAAACACACAGACTCACAGACTCTCCAACAGGTGCGTCCTCACCATGGCAACCAGTTACACGCACGCAGGCACTCTCTGTCTGTCTCTCTCTCTCTGTGTGTCTCTCTCTCATACAGTGATTCAGGTCTTGGAGACTTTTAGAGGACCCCCCCCACACACACACACCCCATTTTAAAATAAAAGCCTCACAGAATTAATTCCAACTGAAATGCTTGTGATGAAGCCTGTCATTGAATAACCTGTTTGTGTTTATCTAACATTATGATCCTGTCTCCTCCCCCCCCCACCCAACACACCCCCCATTTCAAAATAAAAAGCCCCACAGAGTAAAATCTAACTGGAATGCTTGTGATGAAGCCTGTCATTTAATAACCTCTGTTTGTGTGTTTAATACATTCTGATTCTGTCTCCTCTCCTCCTCTCTCCCCCACCCAGCCCCACCCTTTCAAAATAAAAGCCCAATGGATTAACTGTATTTAAACATTAAGCTCAAAATTTGGCTTTTTTGTTGAAATAATTAATGCTCTTACTAATACTGCGACAACTTAGTAGTACTACTGCTGCTAATATTTCTAGTATTACTACTACTAGTACTACTGCTACAACTACTTATACTACAACTTCTGCTGTTGCTACCATTACTACTAATGCTACTGCTATTCCTGCTACCACCAATATTATTACTACCACTACTGCTATTACTACCAATACTACTATTACTTATACTACAACTACTATTAGTACTACTACTTCTGCAATTACTGCTACTTCAAATACTGCTATTACTATTAATACTACTACTACTACTACTTCTACTACTACTGTTATTTTAACTATTACGGCCACTACTACAGCTATTACTATGACTACTTCTACTACTTCTTCTAATTACTAATACTTCTACTACAACTTCTAGTACTGCTACTACAAATATCACTACTGCTACAACTAGTACTTATTCTAATGCTACTAAGACTTCTACTGCTAATAATACTTCTGCTACAACTACAACTTCTAGTACTACTACAACAAATATCACTACCACTGAAAGTTTTTCAGCTACAGAAACCATTCAAATATCAAAATGTTCAGCTCTTTCAGGAGGTGTGATATGACTTTTCATATTTGTAATCTTTAAACTTTTTGAATTATTAAGCTTTTTGCAATTGTTTTTGAATTGGATATCTATTTTCAGCAATGTTTTTGCAATTCATTTCAGTTTTCAGCATTCCAACGCATTTTCAGCAGGAAATACATTTTCTAGTTAAGTAACAGGTTGTGTTTTCCAGTGAGATGATTTTTGGGTTTTGTAGTGCTGCAGCTAACATGTTCAGTCCGTCCATGGCTTCCCACAGTCTCCTGGTTGATAATGAAACGGCCTGGATATCTGACTGATACTACAGGCGTGTAAATGGGTGGTGGGCGAGGGGGATGAATGGAGGCTTGACATGTCTGTGCAGCGGAAGCTTTGAGAGGCTGACATTTGCATGTGGATCTGAAATATTTCAACAATGCAGCAACACGGCTGGCAAAAAAAGAAATGGCTCCACGATTGTTTTGGCTGAGGTGATGAAATCTGTAATGTATTCTATCTTTCCTTCTAAAATGTATTCTCTCTTAACTGACCCGATACACACACACACACACACACACACACACACACACACACACACACACACACACACACTTACCATCAAACTCAGCAGGGCCCACTCCTACAATGATGATAGACATGGGCAGGGAGGCTGCCTGTGGAGACAACACAGGAGGGGGGTGAGCCAGTCTACTGTTCCCCCACAAAAAAATACACACTGTGCATATCATGCTTTAATGTCCAGTATATATACAACCGCTGGATTACACTTTGCTGCAATGAGAATTAAATACGTTTCGACCATTTTCATGTCTTCACTCTGGTTCTTTGTTCTGCTTTTGTGTTCCTTTCATCAACAAACTGACAGGGGTTTACTGCTGTCGTGACATATACAGGAAATACGCAGAATCCCGTTTGAGTGGGCGTGGCCATGTGACTGAAGGAAGCACAGCCACCTGCATGGACTGCAAAGACTTGAAAAGTGAGCTCACCTTTTCACAAGTCTCCTAGGAAACAATAACATGTAGCGTCAAGCTGGGCTCAAGTGTCAATCAGTACGGCTTCTTATTGCTCCAGTTTTGTTGCTAACAATGCAAACATGAACCTTTTGTCTGCATGACTATAAATGACTTTGGACAGTTACCATAATTCAACTGGAGCTGATCTCAGACCACCTCTTTCACGCAGACTTTGATACAGTCTCTTGGTCAACATAAAGTTGCACACAAATGTTTAACTCTACAGAATTTTTAGATGAACCTCTGATTCAGACTAGTGTGGAGTGAAAGCGGCCATAATGTTTTTCATTTTACTCTAATGCTGTTTTGCACTGAAATGGTCAGAGATTAACCGAACATGAAACTGTGATTAGAGTTGTTCCCACACCGCACGCAGTATCAGAAATAAATAAACAGCCGAAAATTCTGGATCGGGTATCGGCAGGTATGCAAGTCTATGCACCGATCTGATCACGTTATCACATCATTTATCAGCTCATTTACGCAGGAAAAACAACAACAACAGGTGTCGCACGCTACCAGATCGGTGCATCCTGCCTGATCAGTACTGAGCATGTACTGATCAGAGATCAGAAAGAAGTGAGATGACTCACTCGTTAGCGACTTCAATAATCAGCTTCGGGAAAAAAACGGTTGTTGCATCCGAAATCAATGCTGAAAAAAAGCTAACGAGTGAGCCATCTCACTTTAAAAACATTTTAAACTGAAAAATCTCAAAAACTAGACAACATAATGAATCTCTATGGCATTAATGCTCTGTATGAATTTGTTCATGTATTACAAATGGTTTAACCTGAGCCAGGACATACAGCAATGATAGCAATCACTTCACATCCACATTAAGTGTGTCAGCAAACAGTTACTTAATTATCCTTCACTTAAACAAAAGTCATGTTTCTGGCCAACAGATGAATATATGTCAATGTTTTAGCTCTGTCGTACGCTGACCAAACACATGCATCTTCTCCAAAACCTTACTATTTAAACCATAACCATTTAAACCATACCATTTAAACCTTACCATTTAAACCTTACCATTTAAACCTTACCATTTTAATATACTATGTGATTCTTCCTTCACCTTGAAAATGTAGCCCACCTACTCAATTCAAATTTAGTTCAGGATCTTGAGATTATACTCCTGTTGCATGGGAGGTGAATTGGAGAGGGTCTACGAAAATATAGAATTTAGGAATGTGCCTACAATAGCTCAATTTAAACGAATATACTCTGTCTAATGTGCAGTGAGGCCTGGTTAGCTTAATACAGCTATACTGTCCTATGAGTTCAAACTTCCATGCATTCCTATGTAGCCCTGACATACATTACTTCAACAAATGGATATTTAACAGTCAACATTTATTTTAACATCAACATTGTGACCCACAGAAACATACACTATAACACAACTAGAAAATGCATTTCCTGCTGAAAATGCGTTGGAATGCTGAAAGCTGAAATGAATTGTAAAAAAATTGCTGAAAATTGAGAAATGGGAGACTACCCGTCTAAAAAATGTTGAAGCCCGAAAGCATTTAAACTGCACTGCTGAAAACCCTTCTAGTTGAAATGTCTAAATGTCTGTAGCTGAAAGTATGAGAAGAAGAAGGCTTTGAAAGTTGAAGAAGTTTAACAGGATTTGAAGATTTTCTCCATAGAGATCCCTTTCAAAAGAAAATTGCAAATAGCTTAATATTTCAAAGAATTTAAAGATTACAAATATGAAAATTCATTTCACCCCTCTCCTGAAAGAGCTGAACATTTTGATATTGGAACGGTTTCTGTGGCTTAAAAAATGTCAGCAGTAGTGATATTTGTAGTAGTAGTACTTGTAGTAGAAGTATTAGTAGCATTAGAATAAGTAGTAGTAGTAGTAGCAGTAGTGATATTTGTAATAGTAATAATAGAAGTTGTAGTTGTAGTAGAAGTATCATTAGTAGTAGAAGTATTAGTAATTAGAAGTAGTAGTATCAGTAGTCGTAGTATTTAATATAACAGTAGTAGTAGTAGTAGCAGTAGTAGTAATAGTAATGGCAGTATTTGAATTAGCAGCAATAGCAGTAGTAGTAGTACTAGTAGCAGTCGTACTAATAGCTGTAATAATATTAGTAATGGTAGTAGCATGAATAGCAGTTGTAGTACAAGTAATAGTAGTAGTGGTAGTAATAATATTGATGCTAGCAGTAATAGCAGTAGTAGTAATAGTAGCAACAGCAAAAGTTGTAGTATAAGTAGTAGTAGTAGTAGCAGCAGTAGTAGTAATACTAGAAATATTAGCAGCAGTAGTAGTAATTGTCGCAGTATTAGTAAGAGCATTCATTATTTCAACAAAAAAGCCTAATTTTGAGCTTAACGTTTAAATACAGTTAATCCATGAGGCTTTTATTTTGAAAGGGTGGGACTGGGTGGGGGAGAGAGGGGGAGAGGAGACATAATCTTAATGTTTGACACACAAACAGAGTTTATTAAATGACAGGCTTCATCACAAGCATTTCAGTTAGAATTCACTCTTTGGGGCTTTTATTTTGAAATGCGGTGTGGGCGGGGGGGGAAGGGGAGAGGAGACATAATCATAATGTTAGATAAACATAAACAGGTTATTAAATGACAGGCTTCATCACAAGCATTTCAGTTAGAATTCATTTTGTGGGGCCTTTACTTTAAAATGGGGTGTGTGGGGGGGGGGGGTCCGGGTACAATTAATAAGACCTGAATGACTGTATGAGAGAGAGACACAGACAGAGAGAGAGCGAGAGAGGATGAGTGAGTGAGTGAGTGAGAGACTCTGACCTCTCTGGCAATCTTTCTCATTTGGAGATTGTCCTATGTTTTATCATTTACAGCTTACATGACTATTGTCCTGCTCTGCCATGTCTTTCCTCGTCTCTCCATCTTGTGTCGCGGTGTGTGTAAATGTCACTCGAATCAGGAAACTTATCAGAATACCCATATTTGATTGGCTGAGCTGCATCACGTATATCTCTAAATCATGTGTGTGCGGCTTTTATTTTAAAATGGGGGGGGGGGGGGGGGG